GGGGGGGGGGGGGTGCAGTGAAAACCACCCTGAGCTTCAAATAAAAAACCCTGAATTTAGATCTCTGTTATGATATTAGTGTTTGAGACCTCAGGCAACTCACTTAGCTTCTCTACATTTCATTTTCTTCACCTGTGAAATTAAAGAGTTGGATAACATGGTCTCTGAAATCCCATCTGGCTCTAAATCCTTAGACTCAACCCTTGGTGTTTACCAAGCTGTAGGACAAAAGTGGAGGTTTCTTGTTCAAAGTTTGGGGACTGGGACTCCTGGGTCCCAGACTGAACACTCCACTGACTCCTTAGGCAGAACCTTCCCATGCCCAGGGTCCAGCTGGCCCTTGAAAGGATGATGAGAAGACATTTCAGGAAACATGAGTAGAAACAGAGGAGGACCCCCGTGCCCCCTCAGGGGCGGGCAACTTGACAAGGCAGGAGGATGTGCAGAACGACCTCTTGGAGGGCTCTAGACTGAGCTGCTCTGAATCACAGGGATCATAGTGGAGTCTCTCCCCAGGCAGGAGAGCCAGCTAGGTGGGGCCCTCTGTCATTAGAGCTGTAAAACGTGTCTTCAGAGCCCCTCAGGGGAGGGTGGGGGGTTACCTTGGCCAGCAGCCGGTGCCCATCATTATCTAGGATGAAAACAGCCTTGATGGTGTAGAGGGAAGGTTCCTGCAACTGACACCGGGAGGAGAGCTCCGTTTGGCCTCTGACCCAAGGGGGACACCCAGTCATTGGCGCTATGGGATTTGTCAGCAGCAGGGATACATCCTCGGGCTCCAGCCACCCCAGCCGGTCGAGCCCAACCCTATGCCACCCGGGCCAACTCCAGTGCCCACTCCACTCCCGGGCGGATGTTCCCCTGAAGGCCCCGGTGGGCGCTGTGCCCGTTGGGTGCAGAAGGTCCTTCCGGGCCCAAGTTCTGTCATGCACTGACTGCTCCAGAGCCCGAGTCGGAGTGTATCACAGAACCTGGGCCGGGGGGACAGCGGCGCCGAGCCTCCTCCTTGCAGCTGACCCCGGGC